CGTTCATGGCGACCTCTCCTCGTCCGCGACCCGCTGACGGGGCCGCACGCGAGGGCCGAGCGCAGTCGGTTGGCCCCCCAGCAAGCCCTGGGAGGCAACTCCTGGGAGGTCTCCGTGAGAACAGGTAAGTGTAAGTCGGGCGTGTCCCCCTACAGGGGGATTTTCGACGGAAAATCAAACATGCAAAACAAATGCTCCAAAATGGTCGACGGAGTAGCCCAGATTGAGCCCAAGATAAAGCCCGATTGGGCCGGGGTCAGCGGGACTGAGCGGAATCAGACGGGCCTATGACGGCCTCGGCCGGCCTCTCCACCGCGGCTCTTGCAGCGCCGCTGCTGACGTTCGTGAAACCTCACAGGAGCTGCATCCGAACGTGACAGGGAGCGCCCTCTCATAAAATCGTGCCGGCGTGGGCGCGAGGGACAGCGCCGCGCGACCGGCGAAGAACAGGGGAAAACTAGGGCGCCGTGGCCCTCCTCGAGCGAGGAGGCGAGGAGGCGAGGAGGCCGCGAGGAGGCGAGGAGGGGGCGAGGAGGCGAGGAGGCGGCGAGGAGGCGGCGAGGAGGCGGCGAGGAGGCGAGGAGGCGAGGAGGCGAGGGGGCTCGAGGATCGGAGCTCGAGCCTCGACCCTGGGCCGCGCGAAAAGCACCGCGGCGGAGGCACGGGAAAGGCGCGACGCTCGAGGGTCGATGCTGGAGGCCCCCCACACGGAGGCCGAGCAGACGGGGTCGGCTGATCTCGGCGGTGGACAAACCTCCAACGTTAGGAGGCCAAAAACACGATCGAGGGCAGATCGAGGACGTTTCTGAGATCCGGCGGCTCTGGAGGGCGTCTCGGGCGCCGCGGCCTTCTCGGAGCGCTCCGGAACGCTCCAACAGCGCTCCGGGATCGCCCTGGAACGGATGGCAGTCGGGCTCGATTGGAGAGGACACGCGAGAGGACGCAAGACTCTTCCGAGGGCTGCAGTGCAACAGGAATGTACAAGGCAATGGGGCCTCTCAAGACAGGACGCAAGGGTACCCTTGACTTGGCAGGGTCGACCTGCTAATCTGGGCCGACTGCAATCCTCGTCCCAGCCCCGCCCGAAACCATCTTCGTGCCCCCGCGGGTGACCTGGAGTGGGTAACCACGTTTGGGAGGGTACCCGCGTTAGGAGAACAAAAACACTATGTCGGCGGTGGACAAAGCTCCATTTAGTAAACCTCCCCTTAATGAAAACGGCCTGGGACCGAAAACGACGGACCTGGACCCGCAAAAATGACGGCCGCGACGCCCTCTCGCGAACCGAAAGCGGCCAATTCCTTAATCGACCTGTCAGGGTACGAGGGCTGTCCACCCCCGACTACGCAGGGACAGGGGGCCTCCTCTGCAGATGCATCGAACCAGACCGCCGAGAGCTGTTAAACTTAGGTCGGGCCTGTCCCCCTACAGGGGGATTTCGGACCCAAAAATGTTTTAAAAAAAGAAAGAAAACAACTCAACAGATAGTAGTGGGACAGGCCCGACTTAATGTCAAACCCCTGATGCAAAGACGGGGGCCCCAGCGAGGCCCCGCCTCCACCAAGTGTTATCAGCTATCGGGGCAGGGGCCCTTTGATCCTCGGTGGTGTTGGCCTCGCGAGCGAGGCTCACAGAAGCGAGGGGGGGAGGGAGGGGGGAGGGAGGGAGGAGGGAGGAGGGAGGGAGGAGGAGGGGGTAGGAGGAGGGACGAGGAGGAGGGGGAGGAGGGCGGAGGGCGGGAGGGGGAGGAGGGAGGGAGGGAGGGAGGAGGGAGGAGAGAAGGAGGGAGGGATGAAGGAGGGAGGGAGGGAGGGAGGGAGGAGGGACGCCGCGGCTCCGAGCCGCTCCGGCGGAGCGGCGGAGCGCACGCTGCGCGCGGGGTAGGCGGGCGCGGGGGAGCTCGGGGAGCCTCGGGCTGCTGCGGCGCCGAGGCTCGCGCCGCGGGGCGCGGGCACGGCCGGGTCACAAAAGCCAGCCGCGCCTTCGGCAGCCAGGCGCAGCAGGGCGTCTCCGGGTGGACCGCCGCGCGGGCAGGGGCAGCTGGCCAGAGCAAGGGGGCCCAAGGACACAAAAAGAAATCCACACACACACACACACACACACACACACACACACACACACGCACACACACACACACACACACACACGCACACACACACACACACACACGCACACACACGCACGCACACACACGCACGCACACACGCACACACACACACACACACACACACACGCACAGAGATCCATCGATTCCCCAGTTTCCCAAAAGTTCTGGGCTTTCGTCTTCCCCCCCACGTCCCGTATCTTCCCACATGTTCCTGGGAGTCACCGATTCATTGTGTCTGTGTTTTTTCCCCTCGTGACAGCGGGCAAGAACAATCCGTGCCGCATCGGGTGATCGAATCGGAACGGAGCGTGCGTCGGATCGGGCTGCATCGCCGCAGGGCCTGCATCGAATGTCGCGCAGGCGTCGGGCCCTGGCGGATCGTCGAGATACCATTCGGTCGGGCGTTTCCCCCATACAGATTCTAAACGAAAAATTCAAAACATACCCCAAAACAGTTGTTAAATATATCAAAAAATATTAGAAACATCGTCCCCTGACAATTGTTTGATTATTTTTGAATATTACTCCTGTCGAGGGACAGGCCCGACTTAAGGATACTTCTCTGACTCCGTCGGCCCTTCAAACGAGTTCGCGCTCCTGGAGGACCCCGACACCATACGAACGTATAAATGTACACTTCTGGAGGTCCGAGGGGGCTTCCTGGACCATCGCTTGGCTGTGCATGTGCTTTATGTGTTGATCCTGCTCCTTGATTCCCCGACGCCTTGAATGGGGGTATCCACGCATGCGATGCCAAGTCGGCCATGCGTGGAACAGCTCATTCCAGCCCAGCCCAGCAGTCTTGCAAGCCGGCGCGCGTGGAAGGGCACCCAGGACGGGTTCCGAACATGCGAAAACTGGGGAACCCAAAAGATGGATTCCCACCCCCGCGCCCGAAAACACGGCCATTCGCCTGCACGCGATTTACAATATACTGCTGTTGTATGGTGTGGCAGCGCGCAGCTTGCGATTGCGATTCGGCGTAAATCCATTCACGCGCGCATGCATGTATGCGTTCATTGATGCATGTTTGCGTCTACGCATGCACGCGTGCACCCGCGTCACGGCAAGCAGCAATATAACGCACCGTAGAGCAGCATTTCGGCGAAAGCGCTGCCACTCTGGAGGGCATCCACAAAAAAGGACGCCCCCTGGTGGTGGAGGAGGGGATGACATGGCCGCAGCACTATTTCTCTCAAGCTCTTCGGTTCCAAGAGACTGATCCCCGTTCGCTTCTTGCTGCCACAAAACGCCCGCCATTGACCCTGCGGTGGAGAGCTCGCCCCCCCCCCCCCCCTCGGCCATGCCGGCTACGCGCCAGGCCTCGCGTTCGGCAGCGCCCTGCAGCACGTCGGAAACCTGCGAATTGCCCGCCGTCAAGGGGCCCAACGGCGCGACCGCGGTGGCGGTCAGAATGGCAGAGTACAAGAACTTGAAGAAGCACCGCGCCTCGCTTAAAGACCTCGGCTTCAACTGCAAAGCTGCAAGGGCGACTACTTGCGGAACGTCAAGTGCGCGAAGGTCAACGACGCGGGCGACATGGCCAACAACTCGTCACTGCGAGTCCTCATCTTCGCGCAGGTCATGGGCTTCCTGCCAGCGTCGCACGAGTGCCCAGAGTGCGGTGGCGACAACTACAAGCCCACTTACCGCCAGGACAAGAGCACATGGGCGCGGCGATGTTGCGATCACGATTCTGGATGCTCATCGCGCAAGCCGAAGAACAACCAGTCCATGACTGCTGGCTCGATCCTGCAGGGCGACCAGGGGTCGTCGTGGGAACAGCTCTTCGACGCCATGGTCATGTGGGTCATGGATTACCCACGCCAGCTGACGCAGCGAGAGCCGGGCGTGACGTGCCAAACGCTCGACCGCCGGGCGTTGATCTGCCAGGGCGAGGTGGTTCAAGGCGCTCAGCGGCATCATGTCTAAATCTGGGTTCTGGCCGCGAACGACCATGGAGCCGAAGGGCGCGGCGGCGGTCAGGGCCTGCGGCAGGAGCTCGTTCGCCAAGAAAAAAAGGCAACATTGCCGCGGAAACGGCGGCGCAGAGGAAGAAGGCTGCCATCGCGCTGGCCGAGAAGGCCGACGCATCCAAATTCAAGCTCGCGGCGCAGGTGGACGAGGCGCACCTCAACAAGAAACAGCTTGGCGCTCTCCAGAGGGCAGCCCGCCGGCACAAAGACAAGGTCTGGGTCTGGGGCGAAACGGCGCAGGGCCGCCCCGACACCCGGTTCTTCCGCATCCTGGACCACCCGAATGACGCCTTCCATGGCAAACCTCGCGGGCACAAGGAGACCTCCACTTGCTCGGCATGCGCAGAGGGGCCATCCTGGTGAGCGACTCATGGAAGGCCACGGTGCCCGCGTCCAAGGCATTCAAGAAGAGCAAGGGGTGGACTGCGATGGACATCGAGCACGAGCTGGCGGCGCACTCCGCGGGCGAAATCAAAGAAGAACCCAGCGGTTTCACCACCAGCGGGATTGAGCCCGCGCGGCCTGTGGTGAAGCGTCGGGTCCTCCGCAGGTGCGGCGGGCGGATGCCGAACCACTCTGGTCGGCAGAAGTGGCGCGGTGGCGCGACCTGCTCGCAGAGCTGCAGTGGCTAGAGCTGGCGGCCGCCCAAGCGCTCGCCTACGGCCGCACCTTCTTCGTCCGATGCCGCTTCTTCGCCCGCGCGTGCGTGCCAGAGCCGCAGCGACCGTGCCAGGTGTGTTTTGCTCAGTCGCTGCCGCGCCAATGGTTGACGCATGGCAAGACGCCCGCGAGGTGTGAGGTCGCCAGGAAAAGTCCGCCATCATATTCATGTTTTATTGTTTGCCATTTTGCAAGGGGCCCATTCACCGCCGAACCTCTTAGGTTTAAAAAAAATCTGAATCTGAAAATCATCATTATTATTCTCGCCCCTCCCAACCCGCTTGCCCGCAAAAACCGTCTCCGCGCGAGCTGCCCGAGACTCGCCAATCGTCCTCTTCTGCTTTTGGCGCCTCCACAGCTCGATGACCATCACCGCCAACTCGTCGCGGGGGGGGGCCGTCCTCCTCGTCTCTGCCCGACGCCAAGCCAGCTGACCCCAGTCCCGTGGTCGCGCCACACAGGCCTCCCGCTCCCACAGCGGCGAAGCGACCTCCCGCCTGCAGCCACGGCTCCAGGACGCCTCGCAACGCACGTATGCGGTACGTCTCGAGCTGAATCACCAACCGCTGCAGCCGTTGCACCACGGCGGTGCACTGGGCGGCAGGGTGGGAGTCGAGGTGCAGCACCGACCCATCCACCGCGCCGAAGCTGCACCGCAGCGGGGGGGCGAGCTGGGGCGCGCTCGTGCCCCAGGACAGCACCTCCACGAAGCAGCCGTCCACGTGGCCGTGCCAGGCGCTCGGCACCTGGTGCCCGACGGTGCCCACGGCACCTCCACTCATGTCCAGCAGCATGTCTTCGCCGCATGCTCCAGGGCTGAGGCCGAGCCGCTGGGAAGCCGTCGCGGCCCTCGGCCAGTGGATCTACGGCCCAGCTCCCCTGGCAGGCGCCGCCAAGACGAAAATCACGCCGCCTGGTCACCTCGCGCCGCCAGCGGTATGCCACCAAAGCCCTGGGCCACCGCCAACCGCGTGGGCGAAGGAGACGGCCCCGCGCCGAGTGCGACACCGCCGAAGCCGCCCGGCAGGCTGCCTGCCGCGCCACCAACGGCACCGCCAGCGACGGTAAGCGGCACGAGGCCCCCGAAGCGGAGGGAGCCTCCAGCCGCGGCCGCCGCTCACCCCGCCGCGGCAGTGTGGAGCGCCTAGGGCACTGCACCCTCCGGCACCTCGCCCTGCTCGTTCGCCGCCTCCTCCAACCGGCAGCGCCCTCAGCATTGGCCTTGGCCTCCGGCAGGCCCTTGGGCACCGCGGCCGTCTTGCCGTTCACGGCTGGGCCTCCAGTGCCTCGGCCGCGGCCAGCCCCCCCTGCGGGGCCTCTCACGCCCGCGGCCACGGCGGCGCCCTTGCCCCCGGGGCTGCGCGCCCAGAGCCCCCGCAACTCCAGCGAGCAGCGCACCCGAGCCGCCGAGGCGCAGGAGGAGCCAACCAGGTCCGACTCCACCTCCGCCTCGCCCTCGGCCTGCCATCCCCGCCCGCAGGCGGCGCACGGACGTCCCGCCTCCTCGTCAGGGCGGAGACGGAGCGGAGGGCAAGCGGCGAGGAGTGGGCGCGCCAAAGGCGTCGCTTGGGGGCCACCAGGGCCCCCCGTGCCCTTGATCAGCAAAAGCTGTGGACGAGGCGGTCGTTACGGCAAACAGGATATGAAGTAAGGACGGAAGGCGAGACACATCACGCTGTATCTGAACTGAGATATCTATGTATACATATCTACATACATTTCTACATACACATACATACGAAACAGAATGTTCTACCGCTGCTGGGGGAAACGGGGGGGGTCACTGGGGGTTCGGGGGGGGTCACTGGGGGTTCCCAACCCGTACCCCCACCCCCCCACCCCTCGAAAACCGTGGGGGGTCACTACAGGTTCGAACCCCCCCCCCAGTCCATTATGAAAAAAGGGGGGGGTCAATACCAGTTCGACCCCCCCCTTGCCGCTGGCAAACGATCCCCGCTCCTCGGGACAGTGGGACAGTGGTGGGGACACTGGGACAGTGGTGGGGACTGTGGTGGTGGGGACAGTGGGACACTGGTGCGGACAGTGGGACAGTGGTGGGGACGGTGGTGGTGGGGACAGTGGTGAGGGGTCAGCGGGACAGCGGTGGGGACAGTGGTGGGGACACTGGGACGCTGGAGGGGACGGTAGTGGTGGGGACAATGGTGAAGGCGGTGGTGAGGACGGTGCTGGGAACAGTGTGGACGGTGGTGGGGATGGTGGTGCTGGGGACCGCGGTGGGGGATGTGGTGCGGACGGTGGTGGGGACCGGGTGTCGTTACGGCGGTTGAGTAGAGGGGGGGGGGGGTTCGAAACACGTAGTGACCCCCCCGGTTTTCTGGAGGGGAAGGAGGACAGGGGGGGGGTTGCCGGGGGAAGGGGGGAGAAGGGGGAGGCAGGTTCCAGCAGAGGGTGATTTTCGAAGGAGGGGGGGTGGGGACCCCCGGGTTCTGGAGGAAGAGGGGGGGGGAATTTCCACAGTGAAACGGCGGTGGATCACGCTGTCTCAAACATACATACCTACCTACCTACCTACCTACCTACCTACCTGCCTGCATGCATGCATGCATGCATGCATGCATGCATACATACATACATACATACATCCATACCTATATACCTACATACATACATACATACATACATGCATGCATGCATGCATACGTGCATACATACATACATGCACATATACATACATACATACATACATACATACATACATACATACATACATACATACATACATACATACATACATACATACATACATACATACATACACACATATATACATATATACATACATACATACATGAATACATACATACATACATACATACATGCATACACACATACATACATACACACATACATACATATACATATACATATACAAATACATATACATATACATATACATATACATATACATATTCATATACATATACATTTGCATGTATATATATATATATATATACACATACACACACCTACATACATACATACATACATACATGCATTCATACACACATACGCCTCGAATCACCGAACGATCGGTCCAAGACGCCCAAGATGGCCCAATGGCCACTACCATGATAAGCAACAACATCATACATACATACATACATACATACATGCATACATACATACATACATACATGGATACATACATACATACATACATACATACATACATATATACATGCACACACCCACACATGCATCCATACATTCATACATACACACATTCATACATGCATACGTACATGCATACATACATGTATGCATACATATATACACACATGCATACAATCATAGATACATGCATGCATGCATACATACATACATGTATGCATACATACATACATACATGCATACATACATACATACATGCATGCATCCATGCATCCATGCATCCATACATCCATACATCCATACATCCATACATCCATACCTACATACCTACATGCCTACATACCTACATACATACATACATTCATGCATACATACATACATACGTGCATGCATGCATGCGTGCATGCGTGCATGCGTGCATGCATGCATACATACATACATGCATGCATGCATACATACATGCATGCATACATACATACATACCTCCATACATCCATACATCCATACATCCATGCCTACATACCTACATTCATACATATCTATATATCTACATACATGCATACATACATACGTACATTGTGCATACATACATACATACATACATACATACATACATGCATACATACATGCATGCATGTATGCATGCATGCATGCATGCATGCATGCATGCATGCATGCATAATTCTATGCATACAGACATGCATACGTACGTGCATATATATATATATATATATATATATATATATATATGTGTATGCATTGATCTACAAACACAGAGCTATGGAACCATATACTCTCGCTCGGCGCCCTCCCCTTCATCGGGCTTCCTCCAGGTCCACCCGGCCATGGATCGGCGGTGGACAAACCTCCCTTTAGTAGACCTCCCCTTAGTGAAAACGGCCTGGGACCGAAACCGACGGACCTGGACCCGCAAAAATGACGGCCGCGACGCCCTTTCGCGAACCGAAAACGGCCAATTCCTTAATCAACGTGTCAGGGTAGGAGGTCTGTCCACCCCCGAATGGAGGCCTCCCCGATCGCCCCGAGACGGCCCCTCCCAAAACGACACAGAAATCCCTCGAGCCTGCTTCCAAACGGCCCGGGAGGGCCCCACGGGCGGCCGCGGATCAATTGAAGGGGCCCTGGGACACACAAATAAATACACACAAATAAAAGGTCCTATATTTTCCCATGTTTTCTGGGTTTTTGTCTTCCCGCCCAATTCCCATATTTTCCCATCTTTTCCTGGGACTCGTTGTTAATTGTGTCTGTGTGTTTCTGTCCCTCCTGATCAGTGCACGCGGCCCCCAGGCTGCCCCGCGCGGGAGCTCCGGGGGCACCCAGAGGCGGCGCCTCGGAAGGCCCCGCCAGCGCTCCTGCGCTCAGGTCGGGCCCGTCCACCTGCAGGCCGTTTCTCGACGAGAAATTAAACATTCGGGGATGGACGGACCCCCCTTTAGTAAAACGTGGTTTAGTGAAAACGACCTGAGGCCCAAACCTGGCGGGCGCGAGCGTGGAAAATAACGGCCACGGCGCCCTCTCGAGAACCGAAAACGGACAATTCACGAATCGACGTGTCACTGTTGGGGGTTCTGTCTGGCTCTCCTACGCTCAGGTCGGGCCCGTCCCCCTGCGGGCCGTTCTTCGACGAAAAATGAAACATCGTCAAAAAAGTAACCCAAACGAATCAAGCATAGTTTTTATTAACAAAAAATCCATAAAGGCAGCTCCCCTGACTTTTTGTTTGACTCTTTTGGAATAATCCTCATGATGTTGTGTTTTATTATTATTATTACCCCCCCCAAAAAAAAAGCAACTCCCCTGATTGTTTGACTATTTTGGAATAGTCCTCCTGTAGAGGGGCAGGCCCGACTCGCCCGGGGATGCGAGGCGTCGCGCGCGACGGCCCCAACGTGCCACCAGCCCTGAAGAGCCGCAGCCCGTGGTGCTGGGCCTGCACGGCGGCAGGACCTGCCGCGGGCAGCCGGGCAGCACCGAAGGGGCCCTGGGGCACACAAAGAAACACACACACAGATAGAATGATTCCCCATATTTTCCCATATGTTCTGGACTTCTGTCTTCCCCCCTTCCGCCGCCTTCTGGCAAGGCCTTCTCCTTCTCCCTTCCCTCTTCGTTCGCCGCCATCTGTTTCTCACGCTTGGGCGCCCGAAATGGGTACAGAACAATGGGCACGATGCCCCACAACAAACGTTGTCCAAAATCGACAGCGGCCGCTGTTGGGCAGGCGGCCGTCTGCCTCAAATGGACAACGCCCGCGGCGGCGCGAACAACGAGCCCTTCTCAAAATGAACCAGAACTGCTGTTGGGCATCGTGCCAATACTTTCCGTACCCATTTCTAGAGGCCTCCTAGATGGGGTCCGAGTAGATGGGGTCGACGGATCGCGCCGCATCGCCAATGCATCGCCGATGTATCGGCGATGTATCGGCGATGCGTCGGCGACGTCGGCGATGCATCGGCAACGTCGGCGTGGGAAAGCACGGTCTCCGCATCGAGCCGCATCGCCGATGCATCGGCGATGCGGCGCGATCCTCCGACCCCATCTACTCTGACCCCATCTGGGAGGCTTAGAATTTCGCTCGTGCCGATGACAGGGTCCCCCTGGGCCCTGCGCCCAGCCTGGCACCTGGCCCGCGCGCCCAGGAGCACCCGCCAGGGCGCCCGCGACCCGCGGCGGCGGGCACCCCGGCGCCAGAACGGGCGCCCGACAGCGCGCCGCCCGCGGGGGCGCCCGGGCAGACCTTGCCCTCGGAGCGGTGCTGCCGGCGGCGAGCGAGGAGGGGGGGAGGTGAGAAAAAAAACCTCTCGGAAGGCAGCCAACCTTCTCTGAAGCCCCATCGCGCCTCCCGGGAAGGTGCACGGCGTCTCCCGGGAGAGCGTACAGAAAGCACTTCTCGGAGGGTCTGGGGACGCTCGGGCATCCTGGGGAGGCCCGCCCGTTTTCAC